AGCATTTTCTCCAATATCAAAACAGCTACGGTAAAAATAAAAAGACGTGCATCATCCCGGACATAATGCCACACCACATGCGAAATTACACAGAAATGCGACGTACGGAAGAATGCGTTTTGGCTGCGAACATCTTCCAAAAAACTTGCCATCTCTTAACCATGGGCAAAAACATCTGGAACCACTTATCAAAACCACCCCGTATCTGCATGAAGTTCCACCCCCCCCCCACTGCTATTCCAAACAACATGTTTTTCTGGACCATTCCAATTCGCCTCGTAATTGTAGGGGTGCGTCTGCAATATTACATTGACCGCGAAAGCAGCAACGGCAAAAATACACATTCGTGCATCAACACGGGAATGCCCGCAGACGGCGTATAAAATTGCGTGCCGATTACACAAAGAGAACCCAGTGTTTTGACTGCGAACATGAAAAATCAGCCGATCACAACACTCCGTCCGGAGGTCCTGACCTCCTTCACGGAGTAAAAAGACTTCAAAAGAATAACTGTTTCAACCATAAAATATTAAATATAATTGTAAGTATTAGTCTAAGAGTGATACTAATAATAAGTAATATAATATTAAAGTTATAATCAGCATGATGATTCCTCTGATTATCTTTCCAGATTTGCCACAAAATAGACAAAGTAAAAGAAATGGCCATTGTCATAATAATTATTATTAAAATTATTATAATTATGATTCCTAATTTTTAATCAAGACTGAAAATCATCATGGAAAATTGGTAAATAATTGGGTTAGAGAGAAATATGAAACCAGTTTTGATCCTTTCAATCAAGACGAATTCTCTTTCATAAACAAAAGTAATAATCACCAACTTGAGTTTTACAAAGTGATACAAAAAACACTGATTCTACTACGATATGTCCTGATTCAGGGATGACACAGCTAGCCAGGACACTGATGAGTCACTCACTACTGACAGTGACAGTCAACATGAGTAGGTTCTTAATAAAATCTTTCCCATCTTTAAATTCATAAAGTTTCATTCATCATATTTCCACAAAAAAAGACAGTTTGTAAAATCAAATCACAAATCATGATGATGATCATAATATAATAAGCAATCAGCATCACAATTCTTTCTTCAACAGATTTTATAAACTGTAGCTGTAAGTGAATAATCTTATGAAATCAGCAAGACATCATCCATACTCATCGATACTCATCACTCATGGTCATCCCTCAAAGGCTTAATAAATCAAAATAATTATGTTTATTGGTAAGAAAACTTAAGGAATAACTACAGTTTCTTTCTTACCTGAAATCATCAATACACAATATAACTCTTGCACTATTTAATTTTATATACACAAAGAACATTGATCAAACATGGGAAGATAAAAGATGGGAATTACAAAATGTATTAAACTCACAAATAAACATGTCAAACAAATACATACATGTCTATATTTTAGCTAATTTACCCATCATCTTACACTACACAAAATCCTACCTAAATCTTAAAGCTTGCTGCATAAAGAGAGTGAGGAAGCTAAATCTTTATGCATGCATGCTTTAAGTTTAATGTGTGCGTAAAGAATACATTTTGTGTTACCGGTCAACAAAATTGTCTTTGCACTGAAAAGTAGCCTGATTACCTATTTTAGCTATTCTAGAGTAGACTTTTGTCCTCTATGCAACTATTTAAGGAGAGGACAAACACACTCTAAAAGAGATCTGGTAGAAAGGCTGCCAGAAAGATGACAACTGTGCTCACAACAGTGTGTTAAGAGTGATGTTTTGTTATTTATTTACCCACAGGAAAAGTGAGGATGAGCTGCGCAGTAAGGAGCGGGACATACAGCAGATGGACCAGGTACTGAGGGAACAGCAGTGGCAGCTCAAACAGCGGGCAGCACAGGTCGGTTAACGTACTAGTGAGGGACAGGCAAAGGTAGTTTGTGTGTGTGCAGGGCTTGAAATACTGGGTGCATGCACCCAAATTTGGAGCAGTGGCACCCAGTTTTTTTTCTGTGGGTGCATCAGTGCACCCAAATATTATGATCAAGCCCTGGTGTTTGTGTGTATGCACATTTGTACACATGTTTGCTATGTGTGCATGGTGTGTTTGTGTGTATGTGTGTTTGTGTGTATGTGTGTGTGTGTGTGTGTGTGTGTGTGTGTGTGTGTGTGTGTGTGTGTGTGTGTATTTGTCTTTGTATAGTGTGTGTGTGTGTGTGTATGGTGTGTACATGTATGATTCTGTGTATTTGTCTACGAGTTCTATTCAATTATTATTGAAAAATCTTCAAGTTGGTACATTACATGTACATTTTTTCAGGTCTAGAGTTCAGCTTTTTCACACATTTTCTACATACTGTGTGCAATATTTATCTCTAAGATTCATGCTCTTTGGGAACTTTGTCATAATGATATCATATAACTATAATAATAATTGTATAACAAAACTCACATGTAGCAGAATGTGGTTGACATGTAATGTTGCTTAAAAAGTTTGGTTGGTACATGTATTCCAACTACATTGACTGACTGCTGCCCCCCTCCCCACCTCCCACTCCAGGTGACCCAACTGGACATGAGCATCAAGGAACACCGGAGTGAGATGGAACAGAAATGTATCCAGCTGGAGACTGCTTACAGTAGAGGTCAACTGGAGGTCAAGGACAAGAACAGACAGGTTGAATGATGATGATGAATGGATTATTCGGGATACATGTAGTCACTCGCAGCCTATTGACTGAATGGCGGGGTTATAACAGTTTTAAAAACATGATGATTGTCATTAATATTATTTATCAAGCCAACCCTATAAAGTATTAAATTATTAAAATTATAGAAATTTAGGCTAGATGTTGACAAAATATACATGAAATTTTAAACATAAAACAATCATGTTGCAATACTAATACAATCAGATAGCATTATTTATCATAAGGCCACACTGACTTAATTTTATGAATGACATCCTCGAAAGACCCTCAAACTGGAGCAAAAATTCCAGGCCAATGAAAAAAATTCCAGTCAAATAAAAAATGCAGCTAAACGACAGGAATACAAAGCTGGTATTGTGAATTTGCAGTAGTACATAGCAAACTTTACGACAAGCTGGCACATGCTGGTCTTTTGCGCATGTATGAGTTGGCACTGTACTGAGTTCTTGAGTTCCGTGGAGCTTCGGCAGCCTGGGTGCTGTCCTCCGTAGTTACCACTGGCTCCCTACTGTTGCTAGCTACCGTGGACAACAGAGGATAGCACCCAGGCCAGAGCCTCCTCGGAGTTGAGCATCCAAAAAAAGTATGGTACATGTACATGTAACTTTACCTTGTTTAATTATTAAATACACAAGTTAATAGTCGGTTTCTGTGTTTGCTGTCAGATTGTGGAGCTTGACGAGCGTCTGGAGGAGCTGCAGGGACAGCTGCGGGAGAAGGACCTGCAGGTGCAGCAGCTGGAGCAGCAGACAGCTGCGCTCAAGAAGGACATTGCACAGCGTGTGGAGAAAGCTGACCAGCTGAAAAAGGTGCATATTCCATCTGGAGTATCATAAGTTTGGAAATGGAAAACAGTACAGAGACAGTACATACAGAGACAAGCTCAAGGGACAAGCTATTAATGAGTTATCATTGGAAATTGGTCCATCCAGCAGAGACTTCACTTGAAAGGAAGCTGATTTTTCCCCCAGATTTTAGTGCTTTTACAACTAACACTGTACATGTAGATCCTATGAAATTCATTGTGTCAGTATTAGCCACAGGCAAAAGGAAAAGAAAAGTGATCTCGATCGGTGAATTTTGAAAAACCTTGGCCCTCTGGTAGGATACTTCCTGCATTTTTTGCTGGTACATGTAGACTACTTTTAGTTTAATGACATCTCTCTCTATATTCACACAACGATTTTTGTCTGTATTTGTCAACCTCCTTTAGTGCAATATACAGCTAAGTATTGCAGGCATGCAATGTTCTAACACTACCTGTAATACCGTAAACACTTGAAGTTATACTACATTATTTTGTATTTGTAATACCTTAAACACTTAAAGGTACATTTCTAACATCTCATCTCGTCTATCCCGTAGTCTAATTACTCTACCAGGACACCATAGACAACCGTTTTTTTTTTCATATTTTTTGTTTCTTTACTATAGTTAGGAAGCCTCCGTATGGACCTACATGTATTGGTATACGTTTCTCAAAGCTCTGTGAAATCTATTTGTAGCAAATTGAGGAGCAGCACAGTCACGCAGCAGAGCTGCAGGAGGATGGGCTGGAGCAGGGACAGCAGCTGCGCCTGACCAGGGAACAGCTGCAGAGACAGCACGTGGAGCTGACAGACGCACACCGGCAGCTGGCGCAGGTGCAGCGGGAATGTGACAGGCTGACCCGGGAGCTGGAGGCCACCCTGGCCGTGTCACAGGTGCCTTTGTTTGTTTGTTTGTTTGTTTGGGATCTCCATTTAGTGTCAATTTTCACACTATTCTTCCTGGAGTCCGTAGTGAATCATCAGATAGTAGTAGTATTTGGACCATCCCACACCAAGGCATGCCCCTACTCTTTTTCAAAAGGGTCTTTGGTGGGTTCTTTTACGTGCGTGGGGTGTGGCTCTCCCCAAACACGGGACCTCCATTTTACGTCCTACAGTATCTGACTGATTCTGAGGGATGTCCCTAACCAAAGCTAGGTATTCATTTACACCTGAGTGAAGTGAGGAAAGTCGTGTAAAGGGCCTTTTGTAAGAGCACAAGATCGGTGAGCATGTCTGCAGAATGTATTGCACCTGCATGAAATCTGTAATGTACTGTGCACAGCACTTCAGGACAACATCTCGTTTGAGGCTGTATTCACATACATGTATTTCAGGAGGCCTTCCTGTCTCTAGTTTTCAAATGTCTCAGAAAAGATATCATCTGCAACAGGCAAAATACTGATGGAATGTTAACCAGGCATCCAGCAGAAACCGTGAAAAGTCCAGGTTTCGGGCATACTTGATATCTGTAAGGCAAAAAATGCAATGTTGCTGATGGAAAAAGGTTGCTAGTTTCATATTGTAGGCTGGTTCTAGCTATTTATTGGTGGTATAAAAAAAAAGAGACTCCTAAGTCCTAACATACAAGTGTGGCTTGCTTTGGGCTGTTTCTTCAAATGCTGCATTGCAGCAAGTATGCAACGATGACAGAAATGTGCTAAGAAATGGCAGCAATTGTCAATATCTGACAGATTTTTGGCCTGAAATTGCTTTCGATGAGTTAAACATGAAACCTTGTTGTACAATTTAGGACAAAGAGGCGGATGCCAGCCGGCTTGCGGAGGAGCTGGGAGCAGCGAAGGCTCGGGAGGCGCAGGCAGAGTCCAGAGCTCAGGCTGACGTCAGGAAACTCAAGACTGAGATGATGACTCTACAGGAACAGCATCAGAACAAGGTGCGATACAATGTAGATCAGATTCTTTTTAACCTTCTTCCTGCTGCCTAATTCCATAACCAATAGAGAACTGGTAGTCATCCAGCTATCTCAGTGTGCTGGAGGTTTTAGCCAACGTGTACATTGTGGTACGTAATATCTTTTGCCTTATGTGGCATTCTTTCATGGGACTGTTCAACCATAGCCAAAACTGTAGGGCTGTTAGAAATTACAATGTAGGATTACAGTAACACCATGGCCAATATTGACTGAAGGAGGCCATATGATATGTATTAATTTTACTAATTTTGGAGGAACTAGACACAGAGAAAGACACAGTGCAGTTTACCAGCCTGTCCTCTGTTATGACTGTATATTGTTTACTGTACATTAAAATATTTGTATCTGAGGAAAATAATATTTTGAAAGTAAGGCCACACCAATTTAATTTGTTACTTCTTGGATGTGAAAAATATGCTTACTGGTAACTGGAAAAATATAACTTCTTAGAGAACACATTCTGAGGGCCAGATTCAGCCCTTGGTGTGGTCAGTTTTATGGAGTAAATACATACATATTGATTTCAAGATTCCTCTCTGCCCTCTGCTTTTACTTGATTTAAGATGTCTGCTTACTATATTTTCATCTTAAAATTTCTGAAAGCCAAGGGCATGTTGTGGCATAGTCTTATAAAAAATCTTGACATAATGACAGAGTGCAAGATATTCTTTGCTACGGATCCCTGTTTTGTGTTACTTTGCAAATCCATGATCCTCTGACATGTCTTAAAAACAGATAATGGCCCTACAAGAGACACACAACCAGGTGATTGCAGACAAGGAGTCGGCAGGGTCTGCCCACCTGCAGCAGGTGGAGCAGCTGGAACAGCTGCAGAAACAGCTGCAGCAGCAGCTGCAAAATGCCCAGGACCAGATCACCAGTCTGGAGAATGAACTCATTGCCAGGAAGGAAGTTATTGATGCCGCCAATGAGCAAATAGTTATCAAGGTATGTAACGGTTGTACAACACATGTACCTAGGGACTTAGACCTGATTTGAAAGTGTGCAAAACCTAACAGTATGAAAACTGCACATTCACACAAGCATGGGAAAAGTGTGTATTTCGAATATTTGCATGTAAATCAGCCCGCTTTGATGTACATGTACATGTACCTCAAGAACATACATTCAGACCCTACACAAATCCTTGAGGTAATGTACAATTTGAACAAAGTACTAGTAATGTACAATTTTCCTTTACAAGCAGGAAATATTTGATTTCATATGGTGGCCTGCGTACACATTTTTTGTACACAATTTTTGCCCGCAATGCATGTAAATAGGGTCTTTTTTTTGTTTAGAAAGAGTGAGTTATACATTAATGTAGATGTGCATATCAACCTTGATGATTTCTTAGATTGTGTGCCAGGTTTTATAAAGGATCATAACTTTAACTGTATTATCTGGGGTTTTCCATTGAAAAGACTAAGTTGTGAAATCTTTGACTGAAAAAGTTGTTGTCATAAGAAAAGAACTGTTCTGAACATCATATTTTCCTTATAGGAAGCAGAAGTCGCAAGATTAGAAGCCAAGATCTCTGGCTACGAGCGGGCGACGTTTGGTGTAAGTACCAGCAGAGGCAAGCGGCCCAGCAGCCAGGGGAAGAAGAGGACAGTTCCACCTCTACTGCCGTCCCTAGGACCCACGTTACACTTCTCTCCAGGCAGCTCTCGAAATAACTCGTCAGACTTTCACCCGAACCAGTCGGGAACGTTCATGGACGAACACGCGACGTTTAACTCCACCAGGCAGCTAGGTATATCCGGGCCTATTTCAAATAGGACGAACATGTCAGTCAGTAGGTCACATGAGTTTGAATTACCAATGGGAAGAGACTCGGAAGTGAGCCGGGACCAGGGGAGCTTCGGCGCTTATGCGCCGTCGGAAACGGACAGCGAAGCGATCGAGACGTTCGAAGGGATGCTGAAACACGTGAATAAGCAAATACGCCGAGAAGACTCGAGGTCTAGAATTCCGGTACCCATGCATAGTAGGGCAGATTTTCGACCCAGGGAATACCATCAAACCTCTTCGAGTAGAACGCCGACCAAAGCACAACCACCGCATTTTGTAAGTCCTTCCGACAAGAGTGCGTACCACGATGAGTCTAGTCGGTATATGTTCCAGTCTACGCCGACCAAAACCTCTCAGGGACTCCCGCCGGGCGCGTCTTTCCGAGCGCGCTCAGTGTCGCCCACGCCGGAGAAATCGGATCACGGTTACGCAGCCAGAGGTCATCCAATGACACGGTCCAACTCCTTACCATATTTGGCAGGGATGGATGTTGGGGCAGCAGGTAGGTGTTTTTCTCAGGGCATTCTCTATGTCTTAGTAGTACTGTAGTCGCAGTTAATAGTAGTTGTACAATGTAGTTGTAGCAGTACTTATAAATTTAGTACAATGTAGTAGTAGCCCTAATACATTTGGTACAAAGAAGTCAACTATTGCTAGCACTACAGTATTAGTACTACAATATACTCTGAGTCTGTACTTACATGTAGTCTAGTAGCACTACTACTGCTACATGTAGTGTTAGAAGGTATGAACATTTTCTCAACTCATGAAGAAGACTTAATTAGTACTAATCAGTTTTTTTCTTCCTTTTTTTATGTTTTGACCAGATGCAAGTTGGCCAGATGTGACTCTCAATTCACTAGGTTCTGCTCCGGACAGTCCTGGCAGCTTCCTTGACCAGACAGATGACCACTATCCCCAGGGGACCACCAATAATGATATGGAACCTTCACAACAGTAAGGATCATTTTCAGTTCATTCAGACTCCTGGAAAATTGATTTGAACAAAAATGACTGTTTGATCAACTGTAAACAGTTTTTAAGAACAATTGTAAATTTCGCTGTTATGTGTACAATGCGCCCAGTACATGTATGTCAAGGAAAGCATAGTTTTTGCCCCCTTTCTCCTTCTTTCTCTTCTTCTCCAAACAAAGGTCAATGACCTGGTCAACGACCTGGACCAGATGGCTTTCACCATGGTAACTGGTGCTGTAGCAGACACCTTGTGGTGTTAGATTACATTATGTAGCAAGTGGCTGGACAGAGTTGGAGGGGCTGGTCATATACATTGTATATTCATACAGCAGCTGTAATATATTATGAATGTGTTTGAGTGGAAATAAACAACTGCTGTAGTTTGTTAGGCTAGACCATGACCTTAACATTTTGCATTTCCTAAATGTTACCTTTCTACTAGTTATTATCATATTATTACGAGCCATTATAGGTCATTATTTATGACATTAGGTCTTATTCAACACACTTATTTTATTGTTGTTACTCTCTTTATGTAGTTTGCCATACATTGTACCATGTGCAATTGTCGTGCAATAAAGTTGTTCTTCTTTAACTTTATTTTTCTTTCCCCGCAGCATGAAGGCTCTACAGGAAAGACTGCGGGCGAACGAGCTGCGTAGGCAGGAGATAGAACACCAGCTGGCAGACATGCACGGCTCCATGCAGAGGGCACAGGACAGGATCGGTCCCAGCGAGAGATAGGAAATAATGAACTACAGGAGACACATACAAACATTTATACTCCATAGCTGCAGTAAGACCATGTTGACTTGATTATATGGATGACATCCGCACACGCATGAATTTTCGGCCGTTTCAACCATGCTGTAAATCGTACAAAACAGTTGCAAAATGAGCAAAAATATACCGTTGCAAAAAAAATATTTAAAAACCATACCAACGTTCGTATAATGACAAAATCAAATGAGAAAAGATGAAAGGAATTTGAAGAGTAGATTATTCACCAAACCATATTCTGTGTCATTTGTTCAACCTTCATGACCACGTAGATTTCATAATGAAAGTAACTTTTTTATTCGCACACTCGCATCAGTTTTGGGGTTCCCAGAGGATGTCATCCATTTGATCAAATCAACATGGCCTTACTGAAAACATTCACTTGCCAAGTCCAGTCACAGTCCCAAAATGACTTTTGAAGTCTGGAAAGATTTATCTGCTAAGGTTTTTCTTTATACGTTGTGCTTCCAAATGACATTTAGATACAGTCTTCATTATGTTTCACTTAGAAATATGTACATGTACATGTATCTATTGTAATTACAGGTATGCTACTTGAAACGTCTGATAGTTTCCAAAATCTTTTTCAGTGTTTTAGTTCAGACCATACTGTCTTACCACTCAGTTTGTATTTTTCACGGAACTGAGCCTATCTGTGGTCCAACCCTAAACAGCACACAGGTATTTAAGGAAAAGTATCTTGCCTCCAGTGCCAGAAACTTCAGAAAGGCAGCTGATTTCTTCATAGAGTACATGTATATGGAACATGATAGACCGATCCCGAAGCCCTGCCCACCTCTGTCAAAACATAGACATGCAAATATTTGATGGACATGCAGCCACTCTCTCTCATTGGTCGAACCGCTAATTACCCTTCTCTCATTGGTTGAACTTCTAATTGTGATGGACATTCAGGATTGGTCTATTTTTTTAGAGGTGGTATTGACTATGTGACCTCAAGTTTTCTTGGAAAGGTACATTTTTTGTAACTACTAAATATCACTCTTCATAAGTGCAAGAATGGTTGTAAGATAGTCTTCTCAGTAGTATTTGACTATCAGAGAAGGAAAGCTTCTCAGAGTGTGTGTAGGAGTGTTTTAGAGTTAAGATATCAATGTGTAGATACATATAGTTTGATAGATGCACAATTCTTTAGAATAGTACCTGTATTTAGCTGCTTGCTGTTTGTAGTTAGTCATATTTATTTTCAATGCCACATTCTGTGATATTCGGGCACTGACTGTAAATTTCTTTTTTTTTGCCACCAAACTTGGTTCTTGAAATATTATTGAAGTGAGAGAAATATATTATTATAATATCCCAAGAGTTTTTATGTATGTATATCTAACACAAACACACTTTGTTATTACTTTAACTATATACATAATCAATAGGATTTTTTGTAATGACACATCTTATTCATAGAGTTGCTAGAAGTTATGATAATTCATACATTTGTGTGCTTTCTATTTAGCCAGAGAACCAATAATAATTTTACTGAAGGTGCATAATTATCAAACAAGGGCTAAGACCGTCCTTGAAATAAACTTAAAAATGAAACGAATTTCATTGAGCAATTTAAAAAGTGATATCTAACTTTTTCATGACTATTCTACAAATGTGCAAAATGTCCGAATATTTATATGACATGAAGTTGTCAGTGTTTTCTAAAACATCAACTAAGCTTCTTGTATTTTTGTACATGGTAGTTGAATCGCCATTTAATAAAATTGTCACAATAATCAGAATCATACGTTGTATTTTCAATATCTGTCTTTTTGTAAATAAAGTTTTTGAATATATACTATGTGTCAGAATTTTTCTACGCTCTGAATTGTGATAAGATAGTCATAAATTTGGCACAAATATATATTTTTATTACTATTCTAACAACTGGTGGAATGAGACGCTTTTAAGTATTGTTATGAATTCGATAATGTCAGTTTCAAGTGCCAAGTAGGATTTTCTTGTCGATTCTATGAAACAATTTAAACCGACACGTCGGCAAATTGTGACAAGAAAATCTCCGTATTTACATGTATCCGCTCCTACACTACAAGCAAAGGCTTAGAATTAGAAATTCTTAGCCTGGGTACTATCCGGATTTTCACTGCGCAGCGCTCGAAAAAATTGTTGATGTAATAAAGATCTTGTTGATATGCAGACTTCTATGTACTATATGCTGTATACATGTACTTAAACACATCAATCCCTCGCTTTTCCATGGGTGTTCTGTTGTGTCAAACAAAACGTTTAGTACAGTATTGAGACCACAACTACAATACATGGAACCGATGGTGAGTTCAGCACCAAGGAGAGGTACACACTTATCATTAACAAATGGGGGGTAAAAAAGTTTGGGTTATAAACACTTGCTGTGGCAGAAGGTATCCTGATCGTTGAGTTTGGCACGGAAAACAAGTTTAAAATTGTGCGGCGAGAATAATTACTTTTGTTTGGTGGTTGGATGTTGATGGTTAATTATCAAGAGCAATAATGATTAATCACGTTCGCACCCCTATGTAATGTCACACGTGGTACGGTCCGTTCGACCATGGTGCAGTGCTGCTCAGCTGTCGTGCGGCGTGTCGTGGGTGAATTCTCTCCAACTTCTGGGGTGAATTTCCGACTTTTTGTCCGCAAATTATCCGTCTAAAGTGTCCAGTATATCTTCTGAACGTTGCCAGGTCGGATTTATGCCGTTCTTTGGATGTTTGAAGGAGAAAAGTGGTGTTTCCTGGCAGGGCGAAATTTGGAGAAGAAACGAAAATTATGGCGACTGCCATGGCGGAAAGACGGCGTGGTGCTCAGAAGACTCGTTCTTCCGAGGTAAGAAAACAAAATATCTCCTTGAATGTACATGTTTGTACTTCCAACAAACCTGTAGCAATAGACCACGGTATAATTTGTTATGTTAAGCTTTATATTCCGTAGAAATTTGCGTTTCGTGGAACGCTATTCTCGTACACGTGTTGTGTTAGGTCAATAATTTTGTACTTGAGTATTTTTGATAGGGAGGTTGTTTTCTTGACTATCATGGTTTTGGGAAACACTGAATATATTTCTTCCGTATTGAGTGGCATTGAAAACAGCTAGGAGCAAATTTCGCTGCTAGAAACATTTTGTTTTTGTTGGAAATTTCCTCAGTTTGATCAGAGTGAACACCTTTTGGAATGTAGCGCACGTGTGCATAATTAAACCCACTCAATGTATGCTACAATTTTGGACCCGGGTTCGAATCCGAGCTTGTGCTCTTTTTTTTCTAAGTAATATTTACAATTCTACATGACCTTCCCTTATACAGTATTTGCAATCAGAATATTGCTTTTTAGAATATGCTCATATATGGCATTGACCATTCGGCAAAATGGCATTGACCATTTCATATGGAGTCAACCGTTTACGAGACGGAAAATAGCATAGGGAACATTGGACACTTATTGAACTTAAAGGACTATTACTACACGAGCAACTTCTGTTACAAAAAAATATCATAATTATGCCACATATGTCAAAGATATATTTGCTTTGAAATGATTTGGTTTTGGAAATCTTGCGATATAGACAGCTTGTTATCTACATGTTTTGCTACTTGTATTGATGTTGTAATATGTTTGGTGACTTATAAATGCAGCAGAAATTCGTACTTCCTTGTTTGTGTTTATTCGGGAATTTAAATTAAACACTGTTCCCATCCCAGGAGCACATTATATGCTTTTCATACTATCAATGCAAAAACGTTCAAATATACAAGTTACCAATCCGATACATTTTAAAAGTAGCGGCTTGGTAATACGTAACTGGTGACGAAAACAAGTAAATGTGCATCTCTGGACCTGCATCACGATTCGAATTTTCATCGTAATCATAGATATTAATGTTATTCAAATAGCCAGCTTCAGACAATTAACTCCACCATTTACGTAAGACCGATCCTGGGTTGTTTGTCACACGCCATTGCAGATCAGCTACAGAAGAAGGCTGACACATCCTTCAAGAACAACAGCAATCTGTGCCCGAGTCTCTGTCAAAAAGTGTCAACTGAAATTTTTCTGACCTCTTGAAAAGGTATGTTTCTGTGAGTGAATAAACAATTATGGTAAAATGTCTTGTAGGCAGTTTACCACTGGCCCACGCCCATAGGTAAGGCTGGTAATCAGATTTTGATTCTCTAAGGAGATATGACGGGGGAAGGTTTGCTGTTTTTACTGAACACAATCAGGTAGATAGCTGTCAGAAAAGTCAGCACATCAGAAAATAATTTAATAATTTCCATCTTAATATCTGCTTGGGGAAAATGTTCGTTCTAACAGGGGTAATATGGGCGCTGCGCCATGATTTTTTAATTTATATTGTTTTATTCATATTTATATTCATATTGTATTTTGGAGACGTGGCACTACTGGCAAAAATTCCTGCGAAATCAGGAACTACAGATAAACCATCAAGACTTTGCTGAGACACAGTCTGTTTAAACTGTTTTTAACGCTTGATGTTGCCACCAGTTTGCCAACACAAGGCTTTTAAAAATGAACACGGCAACACATCGTATCGGTCTACACTTGCCAGGAGATGTTCTACAATTGCGTTATTCAGTAGAGTGCACGTAACTAAGAAACTCAGTCCTACAATGGCTATTTGAATGAAATTTGAGAAGTAGTATTCCCAACCTTTTTAAGAGAAGTGTACTATTTTTTTTTAATTTTCTGCTGTGTGGGAGGTCCAAAAAGGGCCATAAGCAGGAGTACAAAATATCAATATTCAAGCAACAAGTCTTAGACAATTAACAGGTACGTATATATACAATAACAACTGGAAACAGGGGCCGCGCCCGGTACTTTAAGAGTAGTTTAAGATATGGCTTGGCCCTACAAAGGAGCTCGTTGTTCTGTTTAGCTAGCGGGACAACATGGGAAGAACGCTATTTGTTTAACTTTATTACCTCCATGAAATGTGTCATGGAGGTTATATTTTCAGTTGCGTTTATCTGTCCGTCTGTCCGTCTGTCTGTTGGTCAACAAGATAACTCAAGAACGCCTGGATGGATTGGTTTCATACTTGGTGTGTTGGTAGGGTGTGACGAAAACTGGAAATGATGAGATTTTTGTCCCCCTAGTGGCTTCCCTTGGTACTGCAGCGCAACTTCCGGTTTTGATATCTCGCGATCTGGACATGCTAGGGTCATGAAATTTTGATAGAAGGTAGCTCTCGTGCTTGGGAAGAAGTCATATGAGTTTGGGCCCCCTAGCGGCTTGTTCTGGAACTGCAGGGCACTTTCTGGCGAAATGTTTAAAAGCCAATAAGTCCCGACAGGAACAACATATTTTCATTATTTTTGGTGTGTAGGTAGCTGAGAGAGATGTACATAATTAAATGCAAATTATGCAAATGAGGACTTTATTTGCATGATTAATGAGGACATTCTATAATTGCAGTGTTTTACATTATACTACTTGCATACATGTAATGTATGTAACCTATGGCAGGCGGACCTTCAACACATACTAATTATGCAAGTGATGACCTAATTTGCATAATTAATGCGAAAATTCTATGATTTCGTAATGGTGAATGATGAGAATGTCTTCATTATTTTTGGTGTGTAGGTAGCTGAGAGAGAGATGTACATAATTAAATGCAAATTATGCAAATGAGGACTTTATTTGCATAATTAATGAGGAAATTCTATAATTACAGTGTTTTACATTATAGTACTTACATACATGTAATGTCTGTAACCTATGGCAGGCGGAACTTCAACAGATACTAATTATGCAAATGATGACCTAATTTGCATAATTAAAGCGAAAATTCTATGATTTCGTAATGGGGAATGATGAGAATGTCTTACTTGGGACATCTGTAAGTTAATCAAAAGTTAACTTACATCACGATGCATATATCATGTTAATGCAGAGGTCATTTGCACAATTAAAGAAGAAATTTACATTTACATATCAGGATCATATTTCATGGAGGTATGAGATCTCGGAATTCTAGTTTGCACTTGCATATAAAAACAAAAACGATACAGAAAGCTAATAAAATAACCCAGTCGAAGGGCCAACGGTCGAATATTCTATTCCACTTCCGGGGTTTTCTAAAACCCGGCAGACTGCTCTGGGACCGAGAACAGCGTTGGCGGATGAACGAGAGCAGATATTAGCCTCCGACTTTAACCCTTTCTTCCCAGAAATAAATATGACAAGGCCGGTTATGGCGGTGAAATCGTACTTACTGAAAGATAAGGATCAATTTGAGATAGTTTTTGCGGCTCATTGACCGATAGTTTACATCCGAAAACGTTGTGAACTTCTGGGTGTGATTTGAGGGGTGTTGTGGTAACCCTGACTTCTATTTTGGTTCTGCGCTCTCACCCATCTTTTCGGCATCCAATTGTGGTATAAAAGTACAGGGCAACTGATGCAGAAAAAGCACAGAACGTTTCGTTTTGGATCATGAAGGAGGTGTTAGGTTATTGTTGACCGATTGGTGTTGAACTTTATTTCTGCGACCCAGGCGTGGTGCCTGTTCCATGATTTCACAATCACAATAAGTTTGGTATCATAAGCGTTTTAATGATATATGATACATTGAAATTGATAAAGAAACAATGGAAATATGATCGAACAAATTTGAGTAATCCAAACTTTTTGCGCCAAGTTTAGTTCCATGGTTACCCCTGCAGAGCGGCCGCGTTCCAACACGCGGGGCGCTGCGGTCTGACGTTCACTGGTCTATTTTGGTCCTGCGGTATCAGTCATTAAAAGCGTGTAACTTATCAAACTATATATGAAAATAAAGCTGATGTTTATGGGAATTAGCACACGGTGTTTTCAAGAGGGACTAGAATGCTACCTGTTCATTACAATCCTAGAAACATAACTAAATTTGAACGCGTGAGGAACAGCGTCTCTATGACGGAGTGAATGTTTTCTATATGAGTTCTGCGCTCCCCTATAATCAAGTCGACAATAAGCTATGCATCAAATAAAAGCCACGGTTTCTAAAAATAACACACGAATTTTCATGATGATTCATGATCTCTGCGCGCTTACAACGCCGCTACAGTTTTGACCACGATTTCATGGAGAGCGACGGTGCGCGGAGGTAGAACGCGCTGGGTACAGCGTCGTCATATAACAAAGTGAACATTTCCCGTCTTCTACTGTCGTGCAACTTCTATACAATTTAAACCGCCATTAAACTACGTATCAAGGGAAAGGTAAGGTTTGTGATGAATCAGCATATCAATTTTAAGAGGTTTAATGAATTTTTGGCGCTTATCATGGTGACAAAGACGTACATTAAGTCCCCCGGTTTCTGCTCCGCGTTCCACCATGGAACACAAAGGGCGCTGCGGTTTGAATGGTGTTAATCTCGTCTATTTTGGTTCTGCGCTATCTCCCATTAAAAACGGTATCAATCTATATATCAAATTAAAGCTCAGATTTTAGGGAATCAACACAAACAGTTTCAAGAGGGATCATCAATCCTATCTGCCGAAAGCAACCGTACAAACATGGCCGTAAAATTAGCAGATTTCAACGCACAACTACTACAACTTTTATTCATCTCTAACAAAAATTTTGAACACGGTCGGACTCGTCAAAGCCTTGTCCTTTTGCATGCCAAAATTCAAAAGGAAACACCGAGCCATGGTTTTACCACGCGTGTAAACGTAAAGGGTGTTTTCACGGCGGAAGCGCCCTGCGTCAAAATCGCGCTTTTACAAAATAAGCGTGTTCTAGAGCATTGGCCCTTCGACTGACCCAACGAAACAGAATATAGAATAATTAACCTATACAGAATGGATATGCATGAGGCGGAAAAAAGCCTTTAAGGCTTATTCGTGCTCTCCTTATTGCATTATTCAGTAGAGTGCAAGTAACTAAGAAACTCAGTCCCATAATGGCTATTTTAATGAAATTTTAGAAATAATATTTCCCAACCTTTTTAAGAAAAGAGTACGTTTTTTTCTAATTTTCTGCTGATTTCCTTGTCTGGGAGGTCCAAAAAGGGCCATAAGCAGGAGTACACAATATGAGGCAGGAGTACGCAATATCAATATTCAAGCAGCAAGTCTCAGACAATTAACAGGTACATACCATAACAACTGGAAACAGGGGCCCCGCCGGGTAGTTTACGGGCTGTTTTCTGTAATTTCGGGCGTAGCTGTCAGAATCCTTTATGTGACGGACGGGGGCGGCAGATTTTTCACTACCGGAAGTTATCATCAACACGGGTCCCAGCGACAAATCTAAAATACGCTGTACCCTAATGGTGATATATGTATTATATCTTTGCAGGGATTCGAACCCAGAACCTTCAGATTCTAAGTCAACAACCCAAAGCCTAACCCCAAAGGCATCTTGTCACTCTCTCAATCCTACATATATACTTAGCAGAAAACAAGGGGCATGCAAAACGAAGTCACACTGGACACCTAGATATGTTCTAAAATCATTGATTTTCTAAGGCCTCTCCAACTTAATTTTTTGTTCTATGGCATTTTAGAGGAATTTATGATTTACCAAGAGGGCAAACCAAAGTCTTGAGAAGACAATTGGAGTGTAACAAAATATTTCTCTTGTACAAACCAAGATTTTATCCTGGGACCTTATGTTTATATTTAAGTTATAATTTTTACTTTAAAATTCGAGGTCCAACATTAAGTTGGAGTGGCCTTACTGAGGAGCTTGCCGTTCTGTTTAGGTGGCAGGACACCATGGGAAGAAAGCTGCGACACGTGCTGATTTTCCTTCTCATCATCCTGAAGGAGCCCAGCATGCCGGATTCATTAGATAACTGCAAATTTGAAACATTAGCTGATTACGACTGTAAACCATCATCACAGCACTGCAGAAAGGGCCTCACCAGTATCCCTCAGAAACTCCCAACTTCCATTTCTTTGTTAGATTTAAGGTATAACAGCATTACATGTGTAAAGCAGTCTGAGCTATTACGGTATAAGCATTTGTCAGAGTTGCGCCTGAATAAAAACCAGATAACTACCATCCCTCCTGGTACATTTGCTAATCTGCCAGAGCTACAACATTTATTCCTTCAAAGAAACAAGATAACTACCATCCATTCTGGTGCATTTGCAAATCTGCCCAAGCTATATAGGTTGTGCCTATCCCACAACCAGATAACTACCATCGATTCTGGTGCATTTGCAAATCTGACACAGCTACAAGGGTTGGACCTGAGCGTCAACCAGATCGCTATCCTCCCTTTTGGTACATTTGCAAAACTGCCCCGGCTACAAACGTTGGCCCTGGACCTAAACCAGATAACTACCATCCCTTCTGGTATATTTGCAAATCTTCCCAAGCTACGTGCATTGAACCTGAAACACAACAAGATAACTACCGTCCATTCTGGCATATTTTCAAATCTGCCCGAGCTAAAATGGTTGTACCTGAGCAACAACCAGATAACTACCATCCCTTCTGGTATATTTGCAAATCTTCCCGGGCTAGTAAACGTGTTCCTGGACAACAACCAGATAACTACCATCCATACTGGTGCATTTGCAAATCTGCAAGGTTTGTACCTGAACAACAACCAGATGGCTACCATCCATTCTGGTACATTTGCAAATCTTCCCGGGCTAGTAAACTTGTACCTGAACAACAACCAGATAACTACCATCCATACTGGTGCATTTGCAAATCTGCCCAAGCTAAAAAGGTTGTGCCTAGACAACAACCAGATAACTACCATCCCTTCTGGTGCATTTAAAAATGTGTCACTTTTTGTTTCATTTAATTTGAAACTTCAGAACAACAAAATGACGGCCATTCCCCTGTCAGTTTTCTGCTTGTTCCAATCTCATATCAGAATATACCTTCATCTTGACGGGAACCCCTGGCAGTGTGACTGTAGGATGATTCGTGCCAGGCAAATTCCTAAACTTAACGACAAGATAACATGTGCCCAACCTGCCAAAGTTAAGGGACAGAAGCTTGCAAATGTCGATCCAAAAGAATTGATATGTAAAGAGCCAACCATATCACCACTAACTGTTGATAGCTGTTCTGCTGCAGTGTCAACACCTTTAGCTACTATCACGGAAAGCAATACTAGCCCATCAGTCTTTAAAGCCACCGCTGTCTCAACAGTTAACCCTGCAGAAAACACAAGCAAAAAAAGAGCAACGCTAACTTCGCCCTATGAAATCACTTCAGACAAGCCAGAATCTGCTCCCAGTTCCCCCCAGCCGACCACATTAACACAGATAGCTGATATCCATTTGATCTCACACAACTCTCACTATCACTGGTACTTTAAGGTCAATGCTGACCCAATATCAGATCCCGCAGGCAAAACAAGAGCAACACTAACTTCGCCCCTTGCAATCACTCCAGACAAACCAGAATCTGTTCCCAGTTTCCCAATACCTGTTCTCATTGGTTTAGTCTGTGGTCCAGTTACTGGAATTGTCCTGATTGGCGCCATCATTCTTACAGTGTGGTACAAGATAAAAAGCAGGCGTCCTTCTTCAGGGTTAAATCCCAATGTTGTTGGTGGTAATACAAACACAGCAGTTACTGTATCGGTCAGTAACGATGATCATGAGGATACTGATAAACTAGGTGTTCAAAATGGGCAGGGCCAGGCTAACATTCAATCTCAGAACGTTGGAAATCTATCCCATAACCAAGTGCTAGCTGCCTTAAAGCCAAATCCTATGTATGCAGGTACAGGTAACGCAGCAGTTTCTGTAATGGCCAGTGGTGACGATCACCAGTACGAAGACATTGATAAACCCCGTGTTAAGACAGGGCAGGGTCAGTCTCAGGCTATCCCTGAATCCAACACAAACACCAACTACTGTCATGGCCAGTGGTCATGATCAGACAGGACAGGGTCAGTCTCAGGCCAACACTGAATCCAACACAAACACCACAGCTACTGTCATGGCCAGTGGTCATGATCAGACAGGGCAGGGTCAGTCTCAGGCCAACACTGAATCCAACACAAACACCACAGCTACTGTCATGGCCAGTGGTCATGATCAGACAGGGCAGGGTCAGTCTCAGACCGTGACTGAATCATTGGATGCTAGTAATCTATCTTACGGCACAGGGCCGACGGCCTCAGAGCTAAATACTCTGTACAAAACAGCTACTGTAATGACCAACGGTCAGGATCAGACAGGACAGAGTCAGTCTCAAACCAACACTGAATCCAACACAAGCACCACAGCTACTGTAATGACCAGTGACCATTATTACCGGTATGAAGATATTGAAGACAATTATTTAAAGACAGGGCAGGGTCAGTCTCAGATTCACTGAATCCAACACAAACACCAGGGTCATGATAACACACTGCAGGGCCAATGTCAGGCTAACGCCCAATCTCCCACAGATCTGCCACGTAACGAAGTGCTAGCTGCCTCACAGCCAAACTCTATGTATGCAGAGCAGTATACCGCAGAAAGTATACAAGTTGTAAAGTTTCATTTTAAAGGCATCAATCCGCGTTTTCAAAATGAACGAGATTTTGCACCAGTGGTATTAGCTGTACTTTTTTTTCCTTTTAAATATTGAAGTATTGTAACACTTGTGTTTATGACTATTTCAGAATCTGTAAATTTTATTATGTCATAGTTCTATTTTGAAAAAAAAACTTTTGATAGTTGTTCAACTTTAATAACTGCCCAACCAAGAACAGGGTTTTGTCATTTTGTGTAAAATATACAATGTATAATCTTGGGCTGTAATATAAGGAACTTATCTATTTCAGAATCTGTAACTTTTATTTAGGATGATATCATGGTTGTGTTTTTCTAATATCAACTTACCAAAAACAAGGAAAGACTGTTTTGTCATTCTGTGTAAAATATACAATGTATAATCATGGACGATCTCAGTCTGGAACTCTAGTAGCAGAGCAATGTACTGCAGAAAGTATAAAGATGTAAAGTTTCATTTTAAAGGCATTAATACTGAGTCTGAATCAAAAAGAGTTATAGTTTTTCATGTTAAAGTTGTAGTATCTTAAAAATCGTGCTAATAACTATTTCAGAATTTGTAACTGTTTATTATTGATGGTGTAATGCTAGTAGTTGTATGTTGTAATGTTTTACTTTTTTTGTGTACTTTACAGTATACAATGTATAATTATGGATGGCCTAAGTCTGGGACTCTAGTACCAGAGCAATATACTGTATAAAGTCTAAAAGATTTTTTTTTAAAGTGATGTTACCTCAGCAGGCATCAAAACAAATGATTTTTTCACCTTTACACCTGTCCAGTAATATCGGCTGTAATCCTTACAGTGTTTGATTTTTGTAGTATTGGAACAATTTCAAAACCTGTAACATCACAGGTGATTCAATTTTTAGTGTTGCTGTATCTAAAAATCAGTTGGACGGACGTTTTTACACTCTTTCCCACTAAGGTCATGACTACATCATTGTGACTATCACACTGTCCAAATAGACACTATTTACCAACAGATGTAGTAATTATTCAAACTTCATGCAAGCTGCTGGCACATGGCTTCTCTTATAGTAGCCGGCCAAGCAATATCATTGTATATGAATACTAGTAATCATACATTTTCTTTCTTAGAAAAATATTGTTTCCCACCCACTCATAATGCATAATTATATGAAAATAAATACTCATACTGGCAAGAGTATGGAATATATTACTGAGTCGTTATTTATGCTGGCTGTTGCCTCGCAACAGGACTGATCCATTATTGTCAGCAGGGGTGCTGCTGTATGGAATGATGTCACAAACTACGAAACCTTCTTCCTGAAGTTGCCTCTTCATTTGGATCTGAAAGTGAGAATTGTAATTAAATTTCATTAAAAAGTTAAAAGAAAATCATATAAATTCAGATTCTTTACATATCTTATAAGTTTTTAAATTTTAAAGTGATTATATTCTTATCTAATATAAAAGTAAATAATTTGCAACAAATAGCACTACTAGTAATGAGATAAGTTATAATTATCACTTAATTTCATCAGATATTTAAAATTAAATTATATCAATTCACATTTTCTAATAATTGATATTATATAATGTTTTATTAGGTAATTTTTACAACAAAGTGGCACTACGAGAACTAAAATGTTACCAGATTGTTTTGGTCGGAACACAGCCCAACAACTGCACCTCCACTGCCACAGAACTTAACAGCTGAACCGTGCTGGAACAAATACAAAACACAGGGACACAAACTTTCATTTGAACATCTCAATCTTTCCATGTCTTCTTAAAACCTCCCAGCTACCCTTAAATTTCATCTATCCATCCATCCGTCCATCCATCCGTCCATCAATCCATTCCCAACCATCCATCCATCTATCCATCCATCCCCAACCATCCATCCATCTATCCAACCATCCATCTACCCATCCATCCATCCATCCATCTACCCATCCATCCATCCATCCATCCATCAATCCATCCATCCATCCATCCATCCATCCATCCATCCATCCATCCATCTACCCATCCACCCATCCATCCATCCATCAATCCATCCATCCATCCATCCATCCATCCATCCATCCATCCATCCATCTACCCATCCATCCATCCTTTCCAAACTTATGGTACCCATCTTTACATCCCTCCCTCCCTCCCTTCCTCTATCCGGTACCTGTCTAGCGATGTCCACCATCTGCAGGTTTTTCCGACCCACGGCTGCATCACCATAGATTTTTCTGAAAAAAAAAGTTGTCGATATTGCTGTATAATATATCTTGTCCTGTGTAAATGTATGCTGGTCCCCATTGAAAACAGCTTCCACTACCTGAATAGGCTACCCAGCCGTTTTATTATGAAATAAAATTAAATAAATAGCACGCTATCCTCCCCATGATATATTGTAATTCCATGATCTTCTTGACCCGGTGACCTTCCACTGACCTCTATATGACACCCCCAAACAAACAGTCGTGGTTACCTCCTGAGGTCAAAGTTCATGTTCATGAGCTCAGCCAGTTTCCCAGCATCCCCTGCTTCTAGTGACACCCTGCAAACCAGAGGTGAGTTATTGAATAAAGAAAAAAAGATCTGAAAGGCCGGAAAGGTGCATAGAGTAACTCTCCAAGCAGAGGTTTGGGTTATTTTTGGCGTATTTTTGGATTTTTCAACGGGGTTTCTTGTTTGCTCTGCATTTTTTT